GTATACTTAACATCTACTGAACCAAGGTCATCAGGGAGGGATCAGAAATTTTCAAGAAAGTCTTCTAGTTACTTTGAGCATCGCCTGATCTTAGATGTAAGGGCATCGGAAAAATTTGAATCAAAATACTACCGCTCTATTAAGTGATAAAATAAAGTCTTTTGGCGTTAATTAATCCCACCTGAGGGACGCGCCCCGCGTTCGATTTCCATTCAGAATCATAGTGGCGTATTGAATGCGTATGTGGCCTATACAATGAATTGTGGTGGCCAGCCGATGTACAAGTCAGCGCTTTTATTCTCCCAGACGAGTCTAGTACCAATTCACCGACCCCGGAGGGATTTAGAGCTTGGTTGACCCACGCGGATATCGATCGATGACCCGAACCCGCGACTGTGCGTGTGATATAGTGCGCCACTTGCCACTACACCTCTTACGCCTCTAAGATGAAACAGGTGCTATAACTAGAAAATCTTACTCCAACTTTATTAGTAAATTTATCTGAAGCATGGTGAGCATCTGAAGAGACTTTTTTCAGGAGTAGCTTACATTCTTACGAATGAAGCGAAGGTGTTCGATGCGGCCACCCTTGCTGCAGCTATGCTTCATGATACCGTTGAAGATACAAAAACCACACTAGAGGAGATAAAAGAAGAATTTGGACAGGAGGTGTGATAAAAATCTAAAGTTCTGTAGCGTTATTCATTCCAATCCCCCATTCAGAATCATAGTGACGTATTGCATGGTATATATATGTGCTCTACATAACAACTTGGGGGAGCATAGTCGGTGTACAAATCACTTCTTTCATCTTCACAGACGGAACTGGTGCCAATCAAGCAACCCTGGTCTTGTATAGACCGCAGACACAGTCGATACTCCATTACGATTCTTAATGCGGGGCCCATCTCAGAACGGGATTATCAGCACTGAAGGCTGACTAGTTCCGTTCTGATTGGCTTGGGCGAGTATCGATCCGGGATTCGAGACCCTTCGAGAGTAGTGAGAATTACGNGCAATACATTCAACAAACTTGTTCAGGTACACGATATTGTGAAGGAATGCACTGATGATAAATCGCTGCCGAAAGATGTAAGGAAGAAGGCCCAAATCGAAAATGCTCCAAAGCACTCCCATAAGGTAATTTTTTTCAATTTTTTTTATATTACTGGCTAACTTCGATTTCGGTGAGCTTCCAAACATGCTTGGTACCCTGCCCCTTGCTCTCAAGTCCTTCTGGTTAAATATGATATCCTAACCGTTTACTTTTCCGAATTACATTTCAATTACTGATTAAGATAAATTTAAGCTGTAACGTCTTGTAGAGGCTTGCAATTCATTTTGAAGGCACTGGTCGTCTAGATGTCTCCCTAATATGAAGCTGCGGCCCTCAAAGATAGCACGTGGGGCATGCTCGGTTCAAAAGCGACCTCAATAAGGCGTTGGAAGGGCTCCAATACTGGTTTGGCCTACATACACATCCGCTCATTCACAATGAGGCGTTAGGGCGCCAACGATCAGTACGCCTATGTTGGAAACACCCAGACGGTTATAGGCACATGATCTCGTACAACCAACCCTCTTTCTCAGTACTTTTTTTCGGCCTTATGTATCTTGAAATNCGCCGATTTTCACACTTTTCCCGTCATTTTTACAGCATTCTGCATCGTAACTTCCATTACTTCACTTAAGCTTAGTATCTTAGAATTTTGTGGACTGTGCCTTCAATAAGAGAGCTGAAGCAGCAAGAAAGTAGGAGTAACTAACTCTATCAGTCTGTACTTCTTCATATGTCAGGCGAAACTCGTCCATTTGGCCGATAAACTCTACAATCTACGCGACATAGAACGTCAAACACCAATCGGTTGGGATCGACGACGTGTTAAGGAGTATTTCAAATGGTCGAAAGAGGTGCGGTGGTCCAAAAAGCGAGAACTTTTCAAAAACTGTTTTATTTGCTTACAGGTTATTGCTGGCATGAAAGGCACGAATGAAAATCTTGAGATGACTCTCGACGATCTCATAAATAAGCATCTGGCTTAAGTGTTCAAGTTCTCTGTTCATGAGGCAGCTACATTGCGATCAACTTGTGCTTCGTTCCCCTTTGTTAAGTATGCTGTATGCCTAAGGAAAATTGCTTGCAACAGGGCGACATTATATGCTTACCTTCGGAAGAGAAGACTAAGACCAACCCCTCCTCATCTATCTTATCAAAAACTAACAAAATTCCTAGAATGTCTTCACACTTTTTACAAATACGATCTATTCTTTAAAGCACAGTTCACGATAATTTTGAGGTACTTTATTCGAAAAGCTGAAGTATAGGTTGATAATAGTTCCTTGGCAGTGAAGAAATCGTGAAAATTCGCCGATTTCGAGAAGAATGAGGCCCCTTGATAATAGGAAAAATAGAGGTTGGACGAGATTACCATGACGGAAAACATGGAAAGGGGTATTCGGACGAGATTCCAGTTGTTGCAAGCAAAACAGCTGACTACATCAAGCCAACAGTACAGAACTGCCTTTCNCTGTGGCTATGGGTCATGGCGTATTGTTTGAACTTCCAACATGGGTTCCTTATGATTGCTGCAGCCTACACAATGCCGGTGAAACTCGTCCGAGGATACACACGGTGCAATGTTTGAGCCTTCATAACTCTCTTACTGAACCGTTCGACGGGATAGCGCCGGATATAGTAGACAAGGGTACCTCGAATTCATCCTATGGGTATATCTGAGAAACCACTTTTATCGTGATCCGTGCCTTTAATGCAAACCTAGTGTAATGGAAAGTTTGAGTGCTCTAAAACTAATAGACGGCATTTCGTTTTAACCAAAGCGAAGAACTGACCCACCGTAGTGAATGAATATGATCCCTCTTCATAGCTCTTTTTAAGTTTTTCTAGTAAGTATTTTTTAATTTTGGGCGAAAACTTTGCTAGGAGACACCCTTTGATGGTAACACTGGACGCTAGGGCGCAGAAAAGGAGGCTTTCCTTTTCTGCGCAATGATGCTGCTCAGAAACTTTTCCAAGAAAAGGGATTACAGTTTTTCTCCTAAGCCTTTGAAGGAAAGGAGCACCGTGGTGGGTGCCGCGCAGTAGGAATAACATTTTAGCACGCTACCTGTTGGATATGGGACGTTGTCAACTGGATGTTCGGTTCTTCCCCTTCCACCGGCATTTGCAAGTGTCAATCATCTCACCCCCCACCCCAGATGTTCCCCTCTCCCCCCTCCCCACCTCCCCCTCTCCTCCTAAGGCTCAGGTGGAAAATGTATACTTCTAACTAGAAAACGATTCACGCACCTCGCGAAGCCGATTACCACTCCTCCTCTATAGTCTTTAGACTCAGCGCTAGGAAAGAGAAGTGCCTTTCCCTCTCCTCCAATCACATTTTCACTTAAGTTCAAAAAACCTATAAGTACATATACACAATAATGTATCTTAATAATTAAAGATTCCAGTAGTAGAAAAGTGAAAAATCGAATTCACTAGCAATTGTTCAACGGTGGGGGGTTCGAGTTCGATATCTTCTTTCATCTATCTTCTTATAATAGTAATGGTAAGGCCTTCGATGGTGACGATGTGTCGAAATGGTCTGCCGCCTGTAGTATACAATTGTAGAGTCGAAAATCCCATCAGACAAACGTAACGCGTTATTCTGATAATCACTGCATCGCATTTTTAGATGTGCTGTTGATTTGATTGATCGAACCGATTTGTTGATTGATTTTCGATGGTTCAAGAACAATTAATTAGCATAGCGAAGATTGCTCCCCATT